CAGGGGTGTGGCAGAAAGACAGCAGTAAGGAGGAGCCAAGGAGTAGCAGTAGAAAGGCTGCAGAAAGAGTCAGGCGCCCAGAGGAGGGGGCAAAGGAGGTGAGGGGGTGGGGGCAGAAAGTGGAAATGAAAGCAGACAACAGAATCGGTCTTTCTGCTGGGATGTTTTATCTGTCTCAGCCTAGGTTAGCCCTGGCAGGCAGAGTTGGAAGCCCGCCTCCCTAAAGCTCTAAAAAGCATCGACGGAGGCGTAAAAACTGCACGTACACGTATATAAAATCATGCCCACGCAAGCTTTATACGTTACGTAGCCTATTGGTGTTAACATTTAATAGTTTTACTTGAGCACTGTGACGGAGCACTACGTCACATAAAAAAATGGGTGAGCTCAAGTGTTTTAAGGCGCTCGCAACTGCATAAGGTCATATATTATGAGCGTACAAGACACATTGAACATTCTTAGTTAGTAGGAAATTTTGATTTTGCCCGGGTGGCGACCGAAGCCTACTCTTATCGATTTTGGATCACCAAGGGATCTTTAACGTGCGCAACTTGCACGCGGGACCTACGAGATTTTTCGCTGTTATCCGAAAAGGCTAGGTATTAGATGGGGGCTCTCGTGGCCTAGAGGTTAAGGTGTTCGTCTCTCATTCAAAGGTCCCGGGTTTGAACCCGGGTAGCGACGGGAACAATTTTCTTCTCTTAAATTGTCCCCTTTCACCTCTTTTTCTGCTCTCTAGCAATGTTCTTCTTACTGCTGTCTTTCAGCCACACCCCTCATCTTCTGGTTGGAAAGATCTACACCTAGCCTTCTCAGACAAGGGCGAAAAATCTCAAGTGCAAGTTGTGCACGTTAAAGATCCTTTGGTGGTCTAAAATCTATAAGAGTAGGCTTCGGCCGCCACCCGGGCAAAATTCAAAATTTCCTACCAACTGAAAATGTTTAATGTGTCCCTCGCGCTCATATGACCTTATGCAGTTGTGAGCGCCATAAAACACTTACTAAAAAAAAGAGGTATTAGATCTTACCTAACATAAGATCAGGGTTGTGGCTGAAAGACAACAGTAAGGAGGAGCCACTGAGTAGCAGTAGAAAGGCTGCAGAGAGAGTCACTAAAGGAGGTGAGGGGGTGGAGGCAGACGATAGAACATTGTTAGAGAGTAGGAAAGAAGGTGAAAGTACTCAAGTTTAGGGAAGAAAATTTTTCCGTCTCTGTCCAGATTCGCACCCGGGACCTATAGAATGAGAGGCGAACACTGTAACCTCTCGGCCACGAGAGCCCCCGGTCATAGTTTTATATAAGCAATACGTAACAGTTCTAAATGCACACATTCGTCAGAGTGATATAAATATCCTGCGACTTCCTTTCAGCAAATTTCTATAAATATATCTCAGAAACCTAACAGGCGCCCCCTCTCATTCTTGAATTTCAAATTACACATTCGCCCTGCAGTTGGGACAAGTTTGTAACGCTGAGTTAGACGTTTTTGGACATTCCTATGAAATCTGATCCTCGGCAGTGACATTTCCTGTCTTGAACTTTTACAACTGCACATCGTTCACGTCGGTGCTCTATTGTGACTTCCTTAGGAACTGAGTCACTTCCTACACTGACAGACAGACAGACACACACTCGCACACACATGCACACATACAAACACACACATATACACGTTTACACATACGCGAACACACACACTCACACACTAACAAACACATACACATACATACATACATTCATACATACATACATACATACATACATACATACATACATACATACATACATACATACATACATACATACATACATACATAC